AACAGAAAAAAAGAAAAAACTACATTAGTAGTTCAATTTATGAAAATAAAGTATTTTGTTTACTTGTTCTTGTATATTTCGAATACTGTTTGCTTTAGTTTGATATGATCGATCCCTTACGTTAATCCATGACTGTATTACATCATCTTTTTATTTTCAGATGTTGGCTGTATTAAAAAAGTTTTGATTAAATATGTTATTACCTTGCTGTAACTTTCATTTAAAATATACTTTCCTTTTGAATTTTACCAATAAGTGACATTCGAATAATCATATTATAAATGAGCTTACGCAAAATTTTTGTTAGTAGAGCTTTCGAGTATGTCGCGCCTCATGCAAGATAACGAGCATCGAAATATTGAATAACTTCCTTCGAGCCATATTGTTAACTTTTGTTGAATGTCTATGGAATGGAATCTATTGAGTGACTGATTATTTTTTCAAAATTTTGTCGGTTAAATGAAATAGATTTCTTCATCGACAAATTGGAAAAGCCTTTTCCTTAATCTCATAATATACAAATTCCCTTTGCTACATATTAAATGGTATGTAGTAAAAACTCACAAGTTATCTGAAAAATCAATAATTCTTCATACCAATACTGAATACTTTTTTAAATTAGTAGCAATTGTAATTCCTACTGTTATTAATTTAATTAATTGTGAAATTAGTAGAAAAGTGTAAACTATATTAGGTACAATATTATGATTACAGTGAACGATGCTAAATAATGTAAGTTATTAAATTTTATTTTATTTATTGTATTTATATTTTATCACCGTTTAACGAAATAAATTTAATAAATTATCCAAGCACGTAAAATTATTTTTTGCAGATAAGAAATAATTATAATTTGGTTTAAATCAATATAAATAATTTTCCTTAATTCGATCACAAATTTGTACACAGACTGTTTATGAAACTTCATTTTATTAAATTTTTGTTTAAAATATTTGAAGTATTATGAATTGTTATAATACCTTTGAAAATAAAATTTCTGATCCGATATAATTATTTTTTATGTAGTACTTTGTTATTTATTTCTTTCATACAACCTGTAATTTTAAAACCTATTAAATTCATTTTCAAGTAAATTAAAGAACTTATAAGAAAACGTATACTGTAGAAAATTAAAGAATTTTAAAAGTCAATTTGATTAATTGAAAGCTGTCATTAATAAAAATAAAAAAATATTTCATTTCTTTAAACACCATACGTTAATTTGTATTTTACAAAAGAATAAATAATCCAATTGATCCGAATGCGCTAAAAATACTTTTTAGAAAAATAGAATTTTCCCTAGTAATTGGAAGAGATGAATAAACAATTTTTCAAAATACTCTTAAATCATTAAAATATTTATTAATATTTACATAGTGTTTAGACTATTCAGCAATTGAGTTTCTTGCAAAATGCATATTAATTGATATTTTAAATTCATAATTTGTTGAGATAGCGAATTTTGTCAAAAACTATCATCCACTTAAAGAAATAGTTTATCGTTGCTTAAAAATACTAGAATAATATAAAGACCAGTTTTGTTTGTTTTTTTTTCTTTTACTCATTTGAACTATTGCTTCAAACGTTAAGATTATAATACTTTACAAAAATTTGAATGTGTTTATAACATTTAAATATACAAACCTTTTTTGATTCTATAAATAAAAATTAAATGTTTAAATCATTGATAAGAATTTTCAATGGTAAAATTATTTACTTAAACAAATTTTTTTAATACTAAATTTTTACTTTTGAGCTATTTTGATAAAAGTTTATTATATGCATTTATGATATTAGGAGAGTTAGTTCTATTAATTTATTTTCTTGAAAGATTATTCATTTTTTACTAAACTGTTCTTTTAAAAGCCTTAAATAAAATTCTTATTACAGTTAATGAATTGAAATATTGTATAAATCAGTCGATGAAAAATAATTTTAAATAGCGCTATTTATGTTTAAAAAAAAAAAAAAAAAAAGTCATATATAATGATTACGTATTTTTAGAAATTAATCAAAAGTATTTCGCTACGTAGACGTAAGCATACATTATAAATAATATTTAACTAATTAATTTTTTAATTTTTTTTTTTTTTTTTTTTTTTTTTTTTTTTTTTTTTTTTTTTGAGTAAGTACTACTAATTTTATTAATTTATTAAATGAACTTTATTCTTATTAAGATACCTTATTATATTAAGTCTAATATGAAATAATAATCACGATGGAAAAATTCAGTCGCAAAAATCTATAAGAAACTATGTCACGTTTATTATGGTTTATGAAAATTTTACATTTTCAATTTACAACACGATGTAGAATAGCAACATTTTTATTTACTTTATAATTAAGTTTGTACGATCTATGTAGTGCTCTGGAAAAAGGCAACTATTGATAAAATCCCATTAAAGATTAAGTGACTAATAAGATTAATTCTAAATAAGATTAATTTTCAATGCTTATGGATGGAAATTCAAATAAAACGTAAAGATACTTTCAAGTTTACCTCATATTGAAATTCAGATATTAAATTGGCAAATTAATTAGCAACTGATGTTAGATATTGTTCCTACGATATAAATAATTTAAATAATATCGAAAGATATTAAAATATTTAAAAATATAATATATTGAAAAAATATTTATTATCGGGAGTTACATCAACAGGCATAATACTTTTTTTCTACTCTTGCGAGTGAAGTTTTTTTTAATAGTTGTTTAATAATTTGCTTTAGCGAAGTTTTTCGTTTAAATTAATTATACGTATACTTAAAATAAAGAAGATGAAAAAACGATTTAATAAGAAGACAGTAACGCGTGATAAATGGTTATGTTGGCCTTTTCAGTACACATTTTCTACAGATGTGCATATTATGTACGGTAAAAAATGAAAATTAAGTATTCAATCATCGCATTGCTAATTTCGAATTAATTAATGCAAGTGCCTGTTTCATTCCTAATGCGTACATAGTTTCAATTCAAATTCATTATTAGACCTTCGTTAAGTAATAATAATAATGGAAATATGCAATAAAAATATTTCACTCTATGGTGCTCGGAATTCCAGAGTTACTAGGAATGTTGCGATACCTCTTTTAATGATTACAATATAGATATCGTAAATTATTAAGGTATTACGTTTCTTAGAAGTTATATTAAGTATCTCTCATCATGTAGTATTATGCTTTGTGATTATCCTCCATGCCCATGGAATATAATTAAGTATATGTGAATTATAGTAACCGAAAGAGTATTATTGAGAGAAAAATCTAAAAATTGACTTGCTATTACAATCAATTTAGCATTTAAACTTATTAAAAAGTATTATTGCATTCCCGTAGATAATTGAAAACAAAGGATAAATTAACTTTTAATTTTTGAAATCGAAATCTGAATTCCACTGAATATTACTAGTACAAGAGATCCGAGAAACTTCTTTCATTAATTTTGTATGCCTTTGTATAACTTTATATATGTATATATACACATAAAAGATAAAGATAAAGATAAAGATAAAGAAAAAAAGAAAAAGAAGAAAGAAGGGTAAAAATTGAGAGGAAAAAAAGAGAGGAAAAAAACTAAAGAAAGAGAGGGAGAGAAAAAAAGGAGGAGAAAAAAGGACGATCCGTTCGGATAAAATGGAAGATAAATATTTTTTTGCTTGAATTTCTCAAAAGAATTAAGTTACCCTAAATTCCGTTAACCGTATACGTTTCTGAAAAAAAGCTCCTCGCATCGCAATTTTACTTTTTTTTTTTTTAGAACCAAGAGTTTCAACTATATCTTCATTTACCTAACTTTACCAGTTTCAACAATTACATATACTAAAATGGAAACGATTAATGTTTTCCCATATTTTTTTTTTCTTTTTTCTTTTTTCTATTTATTTATTTTTTTTTTTTTACCGAAAATTGAACTTTACTTATATACATGAAGTTTTATTATAATATGCAATATTTATCCTTTATTTCAAATTATTAGTAAACTCATAATGTGAATAGGTAAATTTCCGTGACTAACTTCAATGCAAACTATATAAATATTTTCTTATTATAAAGGGCCAATGTATGAACGAAGATTTCGTTTCTTAATCGACGGGGGTGGGGGGGGGGGGGATGGAGAGAACAAAGAAATGCATTGTAATTCGCTCGTTTTGACGAGATGTAATTTTAGTATTATTAATCTTAAGACTTTTTTAATGCTAAAGTGGTCATACAGGATGTATTTAATGTTAATTCAAGCTGGTATTTAAACATTAATATTAACTATAACATAAAAACTGGAAATATAATTACCGTCGAGGATTAAGATAACAATATAAAAATTACAAGGCGTTACGATGAGTTAAATTTTCATTTTTGATGAAAGTTTGATACGAATTTACGATAAATATTCGTCTTAATTATATAGCATTATTGTTTTTATAAACAAAAACAAAAAACAAAAGAGGAAAAAAAAAAAAAAAAAAAAGAAAAACTTTCATCTAGAATAAAAGAAAAAAGAAAGGTTTCATTATACGTTATACGATTTTACGTGGAAATGAGGCGCTGTCGTTGTAGTATTTTATAAGATAAATTTTATACGGGCAAGCGAGCCCCATTATAAGTTTCCTGAAAGCTTCATTCCTTCTTCTTTCATTGGCCATTAGATCCGCGCTGGACTAATCACGAGCATTTGAATTCTTTTATTATAAAATCTACCAAGATAAATTTGATTATTTCGTGGTGGTTTTTAAAGGAAACAGTAGGCTTATCAGCATTTATTTGGGCCTCGCGCCTGGATTTTGAATTTAGCGGAACCTGAACTTGAAGAACGAATATATTTAAAGCTTATTTTTGATTATATTTAATGATATTCCTTATCATTGAATACTTTCCGAGTACTCGAATATCATATGACGTTGCTATAATCGCGCGTTCCAATACTTTGATGACGATACCGACTGTAGACAGTTATTATCCCGATCAATCAATTACAAAGATTTAATCAAACATTAAAGAACTCACTAAAATTTTGTAAATTTTCTTCTACATTTGTCTCTTCAAGCTGATTTTCCCTCGAAAATTTAAATTCATCGTAATCCTGTTCCAATGAGCTGTTCATCTCCAATCTGCAAAACACAACAAACGAATAAGTAAAGTGCAAAAATATGCGATCGTCAATGATCTTTTTCAAACGAAAAAAAAAACAAAAAAAAACAAAAGTAAAAATAAAAGTAAAAAACAAAAGCAAACAAGCAACAACAAATTTAATAATAATTAAATTTTATGGAGAGAATCAATGAAATTCAAGTAATAAAATGTATGATTTAGCTTATAAAATACCGATAGAGGGAAACGACTGTCGCGTTATCAACGTACCGAGTGACAAAAGAGCGATCGGTTGATAAAACAAGTTGATAATAGGAATTAAGCCTCGAAAACTAGTGGTGATGGCTCGTAGCGCGCAATCCCTTGCGAAGCGACGCAAAAAAAAAAAAAATAAATAAAAACCATCAAGATGCAACAAGTATATTTGGGGTGGGGAGGAGGAGGGAGGGAGTAGGGGAGGAAGAGGCGCGCGGAGACTTTTAGCAGCACAGTCACATGGCTCAGGCTTTAAACGACGACAGAAAAAGAGGAACGTGCATCTCGCTTTATTTTTCCCCATAGCGCGCGCCTCTTACGAATCGCGTGCAATGTTCGTTGCCCCGGTTGGGGGAGGGGAGGGGGGGGGGTCAAGGTTCGCATATCCGTAGAACTCGAGGAGTTACATAATTACGCGGCTAGCCGAATAGGAAGCGTAAGAAAGAAGGAAGAGAGGAGTAGGACAACAATAAGGAAGAACGTGAGAGCTGGCGGAGTGTGGTGGGTGGGGAATGAGGAAGTAGAACTTGGGCAGAGGGGGTGGGGAGAAGCCAAGGAGATTGGAACAGGATTTGTACGAGGGAAACGAAACTGACCTGCCTTTATCGTGATGACTGTAGCTGCTTTCGCTTATCTCGCTGTCAAGGGGTGGGGGGGGGGGGAGCAGCGGCGATGATGATCAGAGGATGAGCATCGCGAACTCGGGATGTCCCCTCACTCACTCCCTTGGCGAACCCCGACGATGAGCTATAGGAGCAGCAGCAGCTGCGACGACGGCGGAGATGGTGGTGGCAACGGCTACGGCAGTTTCTTCTTCTTCTTCTTCTTCTCTCGTCTCCCGCGGTGCTTCACTCGCGCAAACACGTAACCTCATTTCGTCGCGCGGCGATCATGTGAAAGCCACTATACCGCGCTTCTTCTCCGCTTGCACCGTTACTGTAATTCCCAGCCGCGGCTGATAAAGGACGAGGAGTCCCTCTCCCAGCCGATGACGGAGCGACCCCCTACCTCGCGCTCCCCCTGTTCATCCGCTCGAGCCTTGCTTTTAAAGCTGAGCCGTCGTCGCGCTCGATTTCATTCGGCGCTTTCTCAACTTTCAAGGGCGCACGTGAGCGTCGCCGCAGGCAGTCGGAGAGGCCGATCTCCCGGTCCTGGCCGGGGACGATTCTACTACCCGCTCGGGACGAGCTGAACGGGGCGCCGGAGCGCGCACCTGTCAACGCGCGCGCGCACACCGGGCAGACACACCGTACACGTACACGCACAGGAACACGCAAACACGCACACGCGCGCGCACGGTCACCCGCGCACACTGAGGCGCCGATATACGGCGAGAGCACTTCAGAGGCTGATAAGGAAAGGAGAGAGAGAGAGAAAGAGAGAGAGAGAGGAAGTTGGTGGGATAAAGCGCGAATGAGTGAGAGTGAGAGGGGGAAGGCGGTGGAGTGAAGAGAGGAGTGCGTTTACTACTGCTGCTACTGTTGGTGTTGTTGTTGTTGTTGTTGTTGTTGTTGTTGTTGTTGTCGTCGTCGTCGTCGTCGTCGTCGTCGTCGTCTTTGCTGTTGTTGTTGTTGCTGTTGTTGTTGTTGCTGTTGTTGCTGCTGCTGCTGCTGTTGATGGTGGTGGTGGTGAAGGTTTGTGGAGGTGGTGGTAGTGGTAGTGGTGGTAGTAGTAGTAGTGGTGGTGGTGGTGGTGGTGGTGGTGGTGGTGGTGGTGGTGGTGGTGGTGGTGGTGGTGGTGGTGGTGGTGGTGGTGGTGGTGGTGGTGGTGGTGGTGGTGGTGGTGGTGGTGGTGGTGGTGGTGGTGGTGGTGGTGGTGGTGGTGGTGGTGGTGGTGGTGGTGGTGCTGCTGCTGCTGCTGCTGCTGCTGGTGTTTCTGCTGCTGGTGTTGCTGCATCAATTCGTATTCGATGGTCGACGGCACGTGATGTAATGTAATGTCAGGTAAAGCGGTGCGGCTGCGTCGAAGTAAGAAGAGAACGTGGGCGGGAAGCGGCGCCAAGATTATCGGGTGGGGGCTGTTCACCAGTGATATCCTGCCGTCGGATGCACCCTCTTCGCCTCTCGCGTTAGTATTTGATAATTCTAGGGCTCTCCCCCTTTTTTGTTTTGACTCGTGTTCTTCGTTCGTCGTCAGCCGTGCGCCGTACGACTCGCTCCAACTCCCCGATCGTGACTCGTGTTGCTGACGGTTCCGCGCCGTTCCTGGATCGCCGTTGATGGCGCTCGTGCTCTTGAGCTACAATCGCTCGCGACTCCCCTCCCCCTCTAGTACCGCCGCCCCCGCCCCCCTACTCCTAACCCAACCCCATTGCTACGATCAACAGTCAATATGGCGGCGAAATTGGCCGCTGATATCGTGGAACCCTGTTCGATTAGAAGTTAGGATTGGCTCGCTCGTGTTCTCATAAATATGCAAAGCCACCACCTGTCTTCTCAGCGTGTACGCCTACCTTCTGAAAAAAAGTGCTGAGAGTGCTGAGAGAGCTCCGTCCGTGAGTCGGAGGAAAGATGTGGCTCCCGAGGCTACGTAGTTTCGTTCTCACTCTCTCTCTTTAGCAGCCGTCCCTCTCCAATCATTCTCTTTATCGTACCTCCCTCCAACTTTTCTCACTTGTAGAACCCAATATAGTTTCCTCGCGTTTCCCTCGACACTTCTCACTCTCGTCGGCCCGACTGCCTCGGTCTCTCTCAGACTCTCTATAACTGTCCCTCGCTCATCCCCCCCCCCCAAACCCCATCCTACACACACACGCACAAAAACATGGAGGTACACAGAGAGTTTATGCGCTATGAAATCCCACTATCGCATAGTCAGCCCAAAAATCTACGAACTGGGGAACAACTGGGGATTCTCGGTCAGGTTGGGTCGTCGTACCTTCCTTTAATAGAAAAAATCTACCGCGGCTTTGTAAAACGTAGATGTGTGTAAAATTAACTTTACGTAGAGACTCTGCCGAGGCACTCCGCACTATTCGTTCGGTTACGCAATTACAAAAGAAAGAAAGAAAGAATGAAACAAACAAAACAAAATGTTGACTTTTCACTCGAATTTAATTAAGTAGAGTTTAACGATATTTCGAAAGTCGAAGTCGATGTCGATTTAAAATTATTTATATTAAAGCCTGGAATATAGTTGATTTATTATCTTATTGATATGAGAGAAGGAACATGAGGATATTAATTTTCTTTCTTAGGAAACAATCGAGGCTTTAATAATTAATGTCCCGTTAATATTTTAATCTTATTTATTGGACAATGGATCTTCGACGCTTACGGTACTAATTGTTGAAAATTTCGTTTTTATTTCACATTTTTCATGGCACATTTTATTTATTTATTTAAGCATTAAAATGATAAATGATATAATAAACCATTTCGTACTAGAGATTTTTCTTTCTAGGATTAATTTGTGAAAATTCATTATTTAACTTAGTGAAATGAAAAGAAAAATAAAGAATGTGAAATTTCTATTAAAAGAATAATGATCGCAATAAATGTAGCAAAAAAAGAAAAACATTTTAACGTAGAAAAACAGAAATAAAAAATATAATAAATATAAACGATTGATATAATAAAATAAGTTTTACATATATACGCACACATATATGTGCTTAGTGAATGTGTGAAATGATGTTTTCTATTTGTAGGAAACGGCACAGCCAATCTTGAAATTTCATTTTCTCTTAACAGTTAAAATACGAAAATACTTTATTCTGTTATTTAAATAAAATTATTTAGAAAGCAGAATTTTCTTAATTTTGCGATTCTGCACATTAGCTATTAAATTAAATTATTTTCATAAATTAATTTTATCGATATATTTATCATTATTAATATAGTAGTAAAGATTTAATATATTACTATATTACTATAATATATGAATATATGAATATACTATAAAATGAAATATAATATAAAATAAATTAATATATTACTAAAAAATATATTTTCTTTTCGTTGTTGTTTTAACGATCAACTATTTAAGTACAAATGTGTACGTAAGGCTGAAGGGATGTGGTGTGTGGGGCGAGGGATTGTGTAGAGGAGGGGGAAGGGGCGGAGAAGGATGGGACAGTAATAAGGTGCAGCGTACACATTATTAAAAATAATTATCATTATTATGTAATGTCAGGCACAATATAATCATTTCATCCTTCATTGTTTCCGTAGCATTGATGTATTATATTTCTTTATGGTTGCGCGCCAGTGATTCTTTTCTCTACATTTAGGTTTCCTTTTCATTCCTTTTGAATCGGTGCAATCTAGATCTGGCAGGTGCGCGGACCTAATCCATAGATCATTCTTTATTGGACGGAGCCTTAGGTACAAAGAGCGGATGCTGAGTGAAATAGATTGAGCACAATGGCCCCGTTGACCGTAGTAGGTATTTCGGATGCTCAGCTACGGCAATGCTAGGCGACAGAATTATTGGGGAACCGCCTGCTCCCGTATATAAATCATGGGATATGTGTTAGTAGTGAAAGAGGGGCGAAGAGTCTGGTAAAAGCAGCGCACTTTAATTTAACTCAAATGCATAATGGATTGCTGAGTCAAGAGAGAGAAAGGAGATAGGGCGTACGTCCTGGGGTGGGGGTACTGGAACACGACGGGAGGGAGTGAGAGGAAGAGGTTGTTGTGGTAGGGTTGGCGGGATGCGGCGTGGTGGTGAAGGGGGCGACTGTGGTGGTGTGCGGGGGAAGCGAGTTCGAGCCGTGACTCGGGGCGTGGGGAACCAATGGTAGGTTGGCGCGCCTGCGTACCTTCGTTTCGTCTCCCCCACTCTGCCGCGATCCGACTCGCGAACTCGACGTTGAAGAATGAAACGGTACTATGCGCATACAGAAATGAAAAACCTTTTCCTTTTTTCAGCGCTCGTATGCGCGTGTGTGAGTCCGTGCCAGTCTGTTAATCTCTCCGTCTCTACTGCGACTTCCCCCCACCGGCTGACTTTACAATACCGAGGGATACCGGAAAAGTCTGAACGAAATATCCAACTGTCCAATTGACGCGGATTGCCTTGGAAACATCCGTAGTACGTGCACAGTTTCTCCCGACGTCTGGTTACTGCGGCTTTATTGGTTGCCCCACCGTGAAACACAAACTACTACTAAACTTCAGCCTACCTATGCGAAAGCATTATGAAAAACACAATTACCAGCGCCAACTTTAGCGAAAGCGCAGTCGGGCGTTTAATACCTTTTTCTTTTTACGAGAGAGAGAGAGAGAGAGAGAGAGAGAGATAGATAAATAGGAGCTTTATGCATAATACACGAGGAGAAGGAGGAACTTTTTTTTTCTCAGGTTGGCTTCAACCGCATCGAACTGCTTATTTGATTTGCGCAGTTAATACCGAGATTATAATGGTTAGAGCCTTAGAACCTACACCATATAATTACGTACGTCCATTGTAATGTATGAGACTATAAGAAAAGGACAGTAAAGAAATATACTATTAGGGATAGCGCGGAGCCAAGTTTAGATGAAATAGTAATTTTATTGATCAAAATATTTTCTTATTCAGTTATGCAATTGCATACATTAATTATTCGACGTGAAAACAAGCAGGAACTTACACGTACACGTATCATATGTGTCTTATAGCCCCGTTATATGCGCATTCAGGCGATTGACGAAACGTAATCTCTTTTACCTCTTTAATCTCGATCTATTAAATGAAAATCAAATCGGTAATTCTGATACCTTTCTCTCTCTCTCTCTCTCTCTCTCTTTCTCGATCTTTCCTTAGTTTCCTGCCACCTTTCTATTTACTATTTACATTTAGTTTAATCTTGTGTAAATCTGCTCTTTGCTCCTTTCTGTCTCCTTATTAGAAATTGTTATCGCGTTACTCGAGGTTCTCTTCTCCAGGCCCTGTACCTAAATTTCACGCATTACAATTGATTTTGTTTATTAAATAAAAACAGAACAACAAAAACAGAACAACAAAAACAGAAAAACAAAAACAAAACAACAAAAACAAAAAAGGTGCATCATACAATCCGAGCCGGTTGAAGTGACACGATCATTGATTTCGTTATCGTGGAAGCAATTCTAATGCAAAATTATTCATTTATTTCAAACTGATTTTGAATGATTCGAGCTCACTGGTTGTGCGTTGGGAATTATCAATTAGTCGCTGTTCTAGTAGGTTGATAAACACTTTGAACTCTTTCTCATTGTGCTTTGGCCTTGCTCCCCCCCCCCCAAATTCTTGTTCGTTAATCAACTTGTGCACGCTTCGCACATACGTTCATACGGGTCAGTATTAGTGGAACGGGGGGTGATGTCGGGAGGGACGAGGGAGAGAGAGTCAAATACGAGTCCGTACAAATCACAATTTGTCTCGCTCCTTGCCGTTGTGCAAACAGTGAAATATCGATTTTTCGCGAT